GTCTTAAAGACTACTTTCGGAAAGAAAATCTCCTTAATATTTTAGGTTTCTTCCCCTTTCCATTTGCCGTTTTTGTAAACGGTGTCCAAACGGCAAGCACGTCCGTGAAAAGAGTGATCCGATTACGTCCTGTGTTAGTAAGACTGCTGGAACGAAACCATATCCTGGTTTTGCGTTTTTACCTGCAACTAAAATGTAGCTTAAAACAAGTTTCCTCCCCCACCGGTACTCGGCAGTTACGGTTTGCTCTTCCTTAAGGGAAAGGACACAACCTAAGCTCAGATCGCATTAAAAAAGACAAATGTTTAAACGGAAATGTAATTAAACGTATTTTTTGTTTAAAATCGCACATCCCTATGAGACAACTTTTTATTCACCCATCTGAGGCCAACTTTCCCCGACGTTCTTCACACGTTCCGCAAAGTTCAACTTACCTGCCGTGAACTGGGACCTCGCGCCGCAGATCGGCAGGAGGATCAGCAGGGAGCGAAGGAGCGCCGTATCCATGTTTGTCCGCAGAGTTTTTTAAAGTTGTAAAAACTGGCCGGCCGCTCCGCTTATTCCCGCAGACCGGCGCGCTCCATGCTCGGCGCCGCGCTCTCCCTGATACTTTGTTTCTCCGCGAGCGGCGAGCGAGCCCATGACGTCAGCGCAGCCCCGTCCGCGAGGCGAGCGGCGCCGGCGCTCCAAGCCTCTCGCCGTCTTTGAAGGGACGCCAGGCTCCCTCTGCCGTCAGCGGCTCGCCAAGTCCGCTGCTACTCACCGGCCGGAGCGGCTGTTCCGGATCATTCGCTTTAAAGCGGCCAGCAGTCAGAACGCGCGATCCGGGGAAAGATTTGGGAGCGCTCGCTTCGCATATCTGTAGAAATGCTCGTATCGCTTCCCCATGCAATGCTATGCAAGTCACCGGGTGGTGGTATTTGTACTTTACTCTTTGGTTACCAGTTTCATATTGTGTATTGTACTAACACAAAGACGGCAATGTGCTATTTGAAATGACACCTGTTTTTGTGCGTACATGTGTGATAACAAAACTGTACTTGGACACTAAATAACCAACCAAGGTCTCTAGCAGAGAAACAGTTTAAACATCAACTACCAGAAAAATTAAACAATATTACATAATAGTTTTATTCTAAGAGATACCAAGACGCCTCTTAAATTTTTGTTGTTGTTTTTTATAGGAAATTTACCATGTGTGAAACTAGAAATATAAACTAATGGAGCTATAATACTTCAGAAATTATTTCGTTGTTTTTCTCTATCAAAACACTTGGGAAGTAGTTTAATTTGGACTAAAACTAATATGAAATTAAAAGAGATTTAGGAACATTCCATATGCCTCTTCTTTGGGAGAGAGTAGCCAGCCCACGCTGGATTTTTCAGCTCAAAGAGAATCTGGTTGCATTCCAGCAGCATCTTTCACTGGCCTCTGTAACACCAGCTGACAGAATGCTTCTGCTCGCTCTTTACCTGCTGTCTACACCAGCGTCGGGTCTGACTGATGCTTAGAGAATAGAGCAGGTAGGATACGGCGAACAGGCCACGGTAGCATGTGATTTGGGCTTCTAATTGCTCATCGCGGTCGATGGGGCCTGTCTGAGGAACATCAGAACGCGGAGCTCAGCCGCGGAGCCTGGGGGACGTGAGCTCGGGTTCCGAGGGGCCGGGCAGCGCCTGCGTGTAAACATTCAGAATCAAAGCCCCTGTCAAGCTGGACGCTGAAAGGGGAGCAGGCGCGGAGACTCGGGAAGGTGCCAATTCTGAGAGTCAAAAAACACTTGGACGGCATACAGTCGACCTCCACCTCTTTCGCAGCAGCGAACCAAATAACCCTGGCGCTCTAATTCACTGAGGGGATGTCAGATGAGGGCCAACGGCGTGCCGACAAAACGAGCCCAGGTCTGATAGGGAGGGAGAGCGAAAGGGGAGCAGCATCCCAAGACAACAAAGTGCATGTGTTACCGCCGCTGAAGGCTGCACGTCATCCCGCCGTATTCCGGCTGGGAGAGAAACACAAACAAACTCCTTAGACAGTCCCTTTGATTAGAGAGAGAACGCGGTGCACATGAATCCAGGAGGCTAAAGGTAGACTGGTCTAATTAAAACAGGAATCCCCTCCCCCTCCTCTGGTGGCTGAGTTTGGGTGGGGGGTGGGGCACTGATGTCGAGCTCAGAGAGTAAAGATCAGACAGAGAGGATTAGCCCCTGACAGCCCCGTTTGTGAGCTTTTCCATATCGTCAACATTTTTGGCAGTATGTTAAATCATATACTCATAAAAAATTGATTTGCAGCCCCTGAAATATGCCACTAACTAAAACAAATCATTTGTCAGGTTAATAGAACTTTTTTTTTTTTGACAGTGTCAGACAAACACATACTAGATAACGGGACAAAAATCATAGATATTATACAGGAATGTTCAAAACGGGACGATTAAAGTCTAGATTGCGTGGGTTAATATCAAAACTATCTGGCAGCAGGTGCAAAAATATTCTGCACATATGTATTTATTTTGAAAGGGATACGTCACTGTGAATGTCTCTCCTGATCAGGCGGCAAACTGCAGCGGCATGTTAATGTTAATAATGTTCATTCTGCACCTCCACTGCAATGGGATATGCCTGCAAAATAAAGGTATATGTTAGAAGGTGATGTATTAATGGCTTTGGGGAAACCAGGAACGGAAGGACTGCCAGCGTAAAGAAATAGGAAATAACACACATTTCAATTAATATCACACACTTTTCAGAGATGAAATTAAGCACCTTTTAAAGTCGCTTTCAAAATAGTGCCATAAGGAATATGGAACAGCGTGATATATATATATATATATATATATATATATATATATATATATATATTTATATATATATAATAATAATAATAATAATAATAATAAGACCTTATTGTTGCAGCCTTCACAGTTGTCTCATAAAATGTTCTTTCGGATTTTTATCTTCCTGCCGTAGCTCAGGCAAAGCTCAAAGCATTGGCACAATTTGCACATTCTAACTCTCACCCTTACCTTTATTCCATTGTACTGTTCGCAACGCTAAGAATATCAGTTGCAATTTGCTTAACAGAGAGGTCTGCTTCGACACCCCAGCCACCTCAAAGACACAGGGGCAAGAGAAGCTTAATGCCTTTTGACTAAAGAGACACCACCCTTCTTCAAGCATCAGTGACCCAACATCTCATCTAACAATGATTCCACTTGATAACTGGAATCCTCCAGAAGGCCAGATTAAAGATGCACCTAATTAATGCTAGTATTGCAGTAATATAAGGCCCATCACTCAGAGCTGGAACGTCCAAACCCAGAAAGTACAAATCCAGACCAAGGTTTTATTTCAACTGGCCAGTTGAGTTTGACAAGTCACAGTCACAGAGTACTCAACTGGTTGGTTGAAACAAAATCTTGGTTTGGATTTTTACTACTTTCTGGTCTGAGCTTTCCACCTCTGCTTTCACTTTACTTTCTGATTTTCCCACCCATTTAAACTCTTAAATTAAATCATCCCGACGAAGTTATTAATAAGCAACAGGAAAAGCCTAGTATTTTCTTTTCTCGTATCGCATATCACGTGTCGTTAGTTCACGGCAGTGGTGTATTCTGTCAGCCTGTCAACAATAGATGACGCAAAACAGGCCACACCCCTTCATGTAATTCAATCAAGACGTTCATGTGTTGCCGCCATATGCCCTTTCCCCCTTTGATTCAATGTTTAATTGAATAGATAGATAGGTTATTGTTTTCAGTCATTGTCTAACAGTATGAAAAACCGCTATGAATACGACACTGCGACTGTTACATACTCTGAAGTCAATTAAAAATGTATGAACTTCCCACTATAGAAGTGCATTGCAGTCAATCACACGCAAAACACACAGGCTGCTGCACGAACAACAACATCACAGCTTATTAATTGAAATAATGCGTGTTTGTTCCCGCAATTGTTTTCTAAGCTAAATACGTGTGAATGTTTTGCTTGGGCTAATGAATCTCGTTACTTTTCGATGTTTGCCTTTGCATAAATGCAAGTGACAGCGTGGAGTTTTGTCAGTTACTTATTAAAGCTATAAGTTCTAAATCTTTGATGATGCTAGACTGTCATCACATATGGTTAACGTGCTATTTGCAGGCACATGCATATAAACACCCACCCATGCATCCACTCACAGTGAAACACGACCTTTATGTATAAATATAATTACGGATTCTGCGCTCCTTTAATTCCGAGTAATGTACAGTGAAACAACTACAGTATATTACAACTAGCTGTGGATCTGCCGCAGAAGCTGCTACCTGTGAAGCTGTGGAACTCTGTGTCACAGAAAATGCGAATCGATCTTTTTCTTCCCACGTTTTTGTTGCAGAGAAAGTTCAGGGAGGCTGCAGTCAGGATCTCGGTGTTCATCAAGATGGCAAAAACTAATCAGTGCAGGCAACACACAGTCACTATTTCTGCTGTTCTGGAGCCAGATACTCTGGATTCTCAGCAGGGATCTGAATTATGGAGCCTGTGCCGTAAATATTTTAAAGATCGTGAATTCTGAGGTGAACTGCGGAAGATGGGGTTGCACCTGTTTGTTGCAAATCACTCTGGAGCTTCGTCTGCGGAGGACATTCTCATGATTTCTTTGCCGTGGGGTGCCATTCAAAGCTCAGGAAGACTGCATTTCATGGTGCTCCAAAGCACTCATCTCTACTCAAATATACTAACACACGAAGTGTGATGGTCAACACGGTGACACAAGAGCTGGAAAGTGACATTACGCCTTTGAATATACTGTAGAAATGCTTGTATGATTCATGGATTCATGGTGGTACGTGGTAGTGCAGGCGGCTGATGTCCATGTTACTTTCTTGTAGGAGTGCTGGATGCAGGAGGCAGTGAGTTTGGAAACAGATGCTTGCTGCCATTTGGACAGGAGTCCAGTTCTTTCACATCCACGCCTCCCGCTCTCCTGTAAATGGGGGGGGCCTGTGATGGGGGTGGGGAGGGGGCAATCATACATGTTTGCAGGACAGCCCTCTGGCCTGGGGGGGTTGGGCTAGACTGGCCCTGGTTCTTGCAGAGTGTGTGTGAGCAGATGGTGATCCAGCACCTTCTCGCCTTAGCCTCCACGCTCACTTTGGATCTCCACCGCCTGGCCTCCCCAGTGCTGCCAACGTGGGATGATTAAAACAAGCTGTACATCCATTTTCGGTGCTGGCTTGTCCTATTCAGGGCCTGGAGCCTTTCCCTGAAGCTATGGGCGTAAGGCACCACAGGGAATACACACAGACAATTTCATAACTCCGATTCACAGCATGTTTTTGGAACGTGGGGGAAAATGTCATGCTGACATGGGGAGAACATGCAAACTCCACACATACTGAGGCATGGTGGGGATGCGAACCCAAGTCCCACTGGTGTCGGGTATCAGTGCTAAATAGCCAACCACTGCACCCCCCAGCACTCCACCCTGCTCTACCTTTTATTTGCCTTTAACATTTAGCTATTTAGGAGGTGATTGTTTCACCCCCCTTGAGACATATTCAGCCTCCTTTTAAACCTGGACCCTCCCCCCCTTATTTTCTCTGACTCCAGCGCCTCATCGGCTCACCCCTCCCCCCCTTCCCAGAGCCCCGCCCCTCTCACGGATCCCACCTACCTGCTACTGTGTCTCCTCATTGTTCTCACACCCAGCCTGTCTGGGGGTTTGTGAACTGGAGACAGCAGCTTGAGGGGCAAATTTGGGGAAGCTAAAGAAAAACAAGATAAGGCATGTAATGTCCCCCCCCGAAGTTAAACGCCAGTGGTGTGGTGCTTTTATCACTGCAATTAACATAGGCAAGTGTTTGATTTTTATTGCACTCCTAAGCAGGTTAATATTAACCATTTAACTGTAATCTAACATGTCTGGAAATCATTTTTCAGCCTTAGATAGGATAAATTAAAGAAAAAAACAACTAATTGTTTCCCCCTTCAGCTTTCTTGGCTTTTATTGTTGTTATTTTTATGGATTTCTTAACAAATGCTGAATTATAGCATGCAAAAATACAAACACTCAAAATACAAGCTTGCAAAAAATACAAACATGCAAAATGCAAACTTACAGAAATACAAACAAAATACAGTGTCTTTGTGTTGACGAGGTACCTAGATAGATGGACATGAGGAAGCAACTAGTCCAAACAGTAGCCAAGGATATGGGTGGCTCCTCCTGTTAGAGCCCTGTGCTTGTGAAGGGAAGGTTGTTGGTTCTAATCCCAGCAGTGGCTGAATTACTTTACTGGGGGGGTCCTTCAGCAAGATCCTTAACCCCCAATTGTTTCTGAGAGTCTTTCCCCCTGTACTCTTAAAATGTGTCTCGTTAATATAGTTGCCATGGATAAAAGATCAACAAAGTAGTTCAGCATTGGCCAATCTTATCTGCAAAGGGCCGGTGTTTATGCAGGTTTTAGGGTAACCTTTAGCTCAGCTGTTCAAACCCAGGTGTGAGGACTCTTCAGCCAATCAGTCCTCTAATTAGTAATCTAATTAGGGAGCTGCAGCGAAAACCCACACACACAGCAGCCCTTTCTGGATAAGATTTGCCACCCCTGAAGTAGTTGTTACCCTATAACATGGCTCTTCAGATCTGACACTCAATTCCAAATCCAGGCCTTGTTTTCAGTTCTCCCAGGCAGTTAGTGTAATAGTTACTGATTCTGATTGGCTACAGAGGCTTCATGCCTGGCTCACAGGTAAAGGAAGGCTGGAAAATCAGCAGGGCTCTGCCCTTAAGGACTGGGATTTGAATAGCCTTGCCCTATTATCTTGCAAGCAACACATGGAAATAGATTCAATTGGTGCCATTAATTGTTTTTAGTGAGTTGTGCAGAGTCATGGATGTCTGTAGCTGAAAACCCATGAGTTTAAATGGTGGCCCACTGATCAAGCTCAAGCCCTTTAAATGTTGGTTCACATCTTGATCAAACCAACATTTGGCCATGCCTTTGAAGCTGCACTTGATGCACAGAAAGGAATAATTAAAAAAATTGAATTCCACTTGCTAGAGGATTTGATCGTGAAATTTAAAATTCAATTGGTTGTAAATTGATTTGTTTTACTAATTCAATTCAGTGGCTTGGCCTCAGAATTTCATCAGTTGTGCTACAGAATAAATCTGGAAAGGAGAATTTTAAGGCGAAGACAGATTTTCTGTGTGTGTCTGTGTGTGTGTGTAATTTGTGGGTGTGTAATGCAGGGAGGGTGACAGATTCCTCTAATCTTTCATTTTGAAAATAAATGAAACAAAAATGGCTCATTGTTTTTCTGTTGGCGTTCCTAGCTCATTTACTGTGGCCAATATTTCAGCCTAAATCAGTGAGCTGTTGAACTTAACTAAAGCATGCGGCGTGAAAACAAGCATTTGCCAGGGCAAACGAATCGAGGTAAGCAAAGAAAATGTCGAGCTCTTTTCCACTGATAGGTGCGCTTCCTCGTGTGCCTCCCTGCTATTGGACGGTTGCAGAATCTGCTATTCAAATGTGGTGCGGTAGCAACCGCTGCTGTTTATTGACACACGGGGGAGCGGAGAGCGCTCGTAGCATCAGCACGGGAAAATCAAATGGCTGTGCTCTTTTGACACTGACGCCAGGTGTCTGAAGCCAAGAAACATCGTTCTGCATCGCTGAATGTTTCACTGTGAAGCCACTAGTGTTGCCCATTGAAGCAAGTAACATGGGCAAATTCCTTGGAGAGGTTGGCATATTCAAATTTTTAGTTATCCAATTCCAATGCACCCATCATGAAGCAGAAACCCAATCAAGCATGCAAATGCAATCCAAGGCCGTGTTGTAGGTTATTAATTCTCAGATCCTTATCGACTTCTGCCGTATTGCACAGCATCCCATGGTCAAAGTCTTCATTATGCATATATGCTGATCACATGACCAAAATATGCAGTAATTACACTGACAATGCCTTGGCACTGTAATAATAATGATAATAATAATAATAATAATAATAATAATAATAAAACCTATATTACCTTACACTGAAAGCAGAGCCTCTTTACCCCTTTGCTCCAACACTCATCCATTCATCCATCTGAAAATGAGGTGTAAACAAATTCCTGTACGTCAGTCGCCTGCTGACCAGGGGTGATGTTTAAATGTTTTTAATTGAGCTCATTAGCCTCAGATAGTCTATCGCTTACTGTAGTTTATAATGAGAAAGTGCCCTCGGGGGAATTTCCCATTTCAGATGGTGGTTTACGAAAGGTCCTGCTTCAGCCCAATTGCTATTGATCGCTCTGGGTTTCTAAACCCTAATTATCTATTACCAGCATCACAGTAATCAGCTCATAAAAAAAAACTCTGCAGTGATTTTCTACTTAAACATTTTTAGACCTGTTTAGATCTTTAATACTTAGAAAAGCATTTTTGAGGGAGTATGTTCCCTGGACCTCTTTTAGCTTTATAAACTGGGCTGGGAATCTAGTATTTCTGTTCATACCGTTACACCACTTTAGATATTTGGAATTTCCAATATCCACTCAACTAGATAACGGCCCATTTTCTAGAACCATCCTTTAATGTGTGGGTGGCAGTGGAGGAGATGATTTTCAGTGTCAGACTTAAACTAATTGTTATTTGTAGAGCCAGCTGGCGTTGTGGGATACTGAAGGCTCTGACCAGTTATTATGGAAATTCTTGTTTTCCACTGTTTCTCTTTTTCCCGTGTTATGAGTTGTGACAAAATGCCAACACACGTATTGATTAAAAGGTTTATTTTACAGAAAGTTGAAAAAGAAATCCAATTAAATAAGTATTTTAACTTTGCTAATTCCATTTGTGAGTATAATTGGTTTGGCTGTTTTCATAACTTCATTACAATAAAATGACAGCTTCATGTTAATATGATTTCTGACTGTGCCGCTGTTCTTTATCTGATTGTGTGGTTGGTGTATTCAAATATTTTGCAGTTACTTTTTTGAATTATGGTGCTGGCAATTGAAAAGTATTACACAAAAATGTAAGGTGTGATTGGTGGTTTTGCGTTTGGCAACGTTGATTTTGCGGAATGGGCGATGTGGCGCAAGTTGTTTGACTAGAAGCTTGTTGAAGAGCTTGTTGTCCACTAGTCATTATACCAAGTGTGTTCTCTTGAGGAAAAAGACAGGGGAGTTTCCTTTCTTAATCTTTTCTTGAAATGGCAACAGCCCTATTCACATACAGTATGATATCATAATAATTATGTTGGCGTGCAATTATCCTCAATGCCACAGAATAGCAGCAAAATGAGTGCCTTTCACGTTAAATGTGATAATGACAAAAGTGTTTCATCATTATGAATTAAAGTGCCATTTTCACTCGGGTCTCCTCTCTGATTTATATTTTTTTCCTCGGTAATGAGACGTAGTGGCAACTGAAAACATGTTGCTTCAGTGAATTGATTCTTTGGTGGAAGGAACCCAGTGGTCCGTGAGTAGGAAACATCATTATTTTCTCAAGCAAAATGATCCTACATTAATAGGCTAGTTAACAGTGTTGGGTAATTCAGGTCCAGAGAGTAAAAGTCCAGACCAAGATTTTGTTTCAACCAACCAGTTGAGTACTATGTGACTGTGATTCTTTATGCTCAACTCGTTGGTTGAAACAAAATCTTGGTCTGGACTTTTACTCTCTGGACCTGAATTACCCAACTCTGTTAGTTAATTAATAGGTGAACAGGTTGCAGTAAGTAGAATACATCATGTCTTTGTGTGTATGCCGTGTGCATACAACTGAATGTTTAACTCGAACCTTATTCTTTTTCTCATTTTTAACGAAACTCCCAAAATGCTTCTACATAAACATTTCATAAAAAAAAAGATGATTGGCCATAATATTGAGCAAGTCTTACTGATAAATAAACCTAAGAGCCCATAATACTGAGCAGTGTTTATTTGGGCTAAATTCTTTTTGAAAGGCTTGAACGTCGATTTCCCAGGAGCGCAGCTTGATCAGGATGAGCCCGGGGCAGTGGGGGCTGAGACGGAGTTCTAATAGCACGAGTTAGTGGCGTCCGTGACAAGAGTGAGGATGAATCCGAAGGTGGGGATACAGTGGGAGTCAGAGAGACCAGAGGAGAAGTGCGGGGCAGCCAAGCCGAACACACTGCGCTCAGCATGCAGGCCGGGCCGGGTCTAAGGGGAGACCCGGGTCACTATGGCGACCCCTGTCATCACCCCACATTAAAATAATAAAAACAAAATATGCACTGTTTTATTTTCTAAACAGAACCATGGAATAGATACGATGCAGTGTGGCCACCCCCAAAAATATAAGTGGCCCCTGATGGCCTCACCACTGTATCCAGCTTATCAATCTTAGAATCCTGCTGCATTATAATTGGCATTATTTTGTAACAGATCCTGATATCCAACGTGCCTTGCAAAGTTCACTATAATATCTGTTAATGAATCAGTATATGTTACCGAAATTCAGGTTAAACCCCCCGTTTAAAGAATTACTCATGACAGCAACAAACTCACAAAGCCATTTTCTAAGGACGCGTTTCTTCATCGTTAATGTTGTATGGCTTTCCAAGAGCGGTGGCAACACTTTCAGATCTAAAACATGTTTGCCTACCAACTCGCTCGTGACCAGCAGAGCCTGGTGTGGGTTTCGAACAAGCAAAGCCCAGGTTGCCTTACCACTGCGATGTATCTGCCGGTTTCCCTGTTGAGGTATCTCCATTTCCCTCGGCAGAGCCAGGCAGCTGATGTCCTGGGGCGAGCGAGACAATAAGAGCACAGATCAGCAGGAAGCATCGAGGATGATCTGACCAGACAGGCCCCTATAAATGAAACTGATACTTAAGTGTGTGTAGGGGGAGGGGTACCAGCTTCATCATTCAGTCTCAGTCATTTCTGCTCAGTCGTTTCTGCTTTGTGTTGTTTTTCTCTCTCAATAAAAGTGTCAGGGAGACTCACACAAGCATCTTTTCATCTGCTGTGTGTGAAATTTCAAATCACGTGGGTGGAAGCGCATTGTTCCAACAAGCCGTTTCCCCGTGACAATGGTATTAATCCTAATCACGTCCTTTTATTTAATTGTATCCATATGGAATTAAATCCCCGTCGTCTCGAGAATGGGACGGGAATGGGATTCGTTTCATGCTCGGCCGTTTGCGGCAAACAAACGAGTGGAACGCAACTGAGGTTTACGTTTGGGGAGGTTTCTTGCACCACAAAGGGTTCCTTGTTTATGTTCCACTTAACGCACTGTAATAACATTCTGCACTGCGACACTCAGCTCTGCCAGCCCCTTCATTCAGCTTTATTTGTCTGCACAGCCTTTGTCCTTCTGTAAAGGGATGCTAGCGCGCACTGGCACCGCTGAAGATTTTCACGGCAGAATGACAGATTTTTATCTTCCGTTTTACAAAACGGGGCCACTCAGCTCGGATCAGGACACAAATCCAGCCTCTGCAGAGGGCATTGTTTGCCTGAACACCCCAGGGCACCTGTGACTCTTTAGCAAAGTGCTAACATGCCCTTCAGTCAACTGAAACATTATTAGCATTTAGGCGTGGACAGTCTGTAAAAACAACGCCTTTCAAAAGCTTGTTTTTTTTATCTTTGATTGTCTGCCTGTCATTCTAGTCCCAAGAGATAAGCGTTTCTATGAGTGCTTTTACTTGTATATATTTGAAAAGTTTAACAAGGTTTCTGTACGGTAGCAGTTTTTAGTACTGAAAATGTATCAGCAGCTTGGTTTGTTATGCAGAGTTCAGTTTTGGAACCTACACTTTTATTTAATACTTCTAATCAGAAGCGGATATTTCAGGTCCAGAAAGTAAAAATCCAAACCAGGATTTCGTTTCAACCAACCAGTTGAGTATAAAGAGTCACAGTCACTGAATACAACTGGTTGGTTGAAACAAAATCCTGGTTTGGATTTTTACTTTCTGGACCTGAAATGTCCAACTCTGCTTCTAAATTACCAGTTTTATATTTCAATTATCCATCCATCCATTTTATGCAAGGCAGGGCACCCCCTAGAGGGGACGCCAGTCCATTACGAGAAATTACATACTATTTCTTTAACAATTGCTTCTATCCCAAGTGGCATACAACTGAGAAAGCATAGTTGGTGGGGTAGGGGGGGGGGGGTTGAGGGCCTTGGGGAGCGACCCAACACTGAAATTACTTTGCCAGCTGTACAGTTTGAACCTGTAACCTTCTGAACAGAGACACCAGGTCCTGAGCTTCTGAGCCACACACCAGATTTGGCCCTATGACTGTTATTTTCAAGGAATGATGTGAAACTATAGGATGAAATATTCAGTGTCCATATTTAGTTTGTTAGCTTCTTGTCTTCATCAACTGATCCAGCTCTGCCAGCAGGGGGGCACAGCTGTGGCTTCCCTTCGAACCCATGGTGACAGACCCTAGCTCTCCTTCTGGGGATTAAAACCAGATGGGATACCTAAAAACAACGGCCACACAGGACCCCATCTACATATCCTGCTGTGGAACCCAAGGGGATTAGACCCCGCCCCCCTGCCAGCCTGACATCTGCCACGCTCAATATTTTTAATGCCAAAATTGGCCAGAAAACACAGTAAGCCTGGACTAAGCAGTACCTCCATTCCTTTTTCTGTCCCTTACAGCTGGTTGACTTGCTTCCCATCCGTTGTTTTGTACCTGCTTTTATTCCTCTGTTATTCACCCTCTATCCAGCTATCGCTATAGGCTATCTCTATTGGTTATCTTTATTGGCTATCTCTATTGTAGCAATTCAGGCTACTTTGCCCAAGGGTACCACAGCGACCCCCTGGAGTTCTTTTCTCCCTAGCAGCCTTTGGTCAAAAGTCCAATTCTTTTAACAGGATTGGTTCAAAAAAAAAAAAAGAAAAAAAAAAAAAAAGGGAAAAGCGGTCCGTCGTCCTCACCTCACCGTTTTCCCTGATGAGTCTTGACATGCTGGCAGACGGATGGAACACAAACATAGCGCATTACCTTTGCCTCCCTGTTTCCTTTCATTCCCTGGAAGAATAAAAAATGAAAAATCCCATACCTGCACAGTGACTATCAAACCGGGGGGAGGTGCGTGCAGTGCGGGGCCGATTCCTAAGGCATCCAGCTATTACAGCTTCTGAAAAACAATGGTGTGGGACAGCAAGTCGAAGGGCCTTAATAGCCTCATTATGGCAGTAGATTGAAGTGGAGAGAGAGGAGATATAGACAAGAAGCACAGAATTTAAAGCAGCGTTTCTGGGCTCATTCCTTTCATTGGGCAGAGACCCTAATCGATGTGGTACAGCAGGGTTAATGCAGACTCCTCAAAACACACTATTCATCCCCAGCAAAACTGCACATTCAGATAATTGGTTTCAGTTTCTAGGCAGAGGGAAGCACTGTAGCTTGATAGCTCGCGGGGGGCCGGCTGCCCCCTGTTGGAATGATTCCACAGCACAGAAAAGACCCTGACAGCTGTCATGAAATCCAGCTTCCCCCAGCACCAGCCAAAACCTCGCAAGGCGGCACCAATAACAAGGAAAGCCCCCTCCAGGGAGAACAAAAAAAGACAGCGTGGGGGGGAAATGTTCATTAAGCGGCTCCGGTGTGTGTCTAAGCGGGGGCTTTTAGGGACCACATCAGGAGGAAGGAATCCCAGCCCACACAATCCCATCCAGGACTCTGAGGCAAGCTGTCCAGGTTTTGGGTTTCCTCAGGCGTTTATGAAGGTAAACAACAGCCTCATTTGCCACGTGGAGCAACTTTTCAATATTTGTACAGAAATGCATAATCCTACTGGTGCAGAAAGGGTAAATGGCAGGCCAGTGTCACCATGCCTTTTAGAGTGTAGGTAGCATGAGCCCTGATATTGGGGGCTAACGGCAGGCTAAGGGAGCCCAGGCAGCAGAGGACACAAGGCTGGGCAAAACACAGGATGGGATTACAGCCCATTGCAGGAACAGCCCAGTCTTACTTGTGTTTATTCTTTAATGTGTAATGTCATTTCTCTTTATACTTGTGTCTCCTTAATACCCGTGTCCATGATCCCTGTGTCCCTGATGCCTGTGTCGCTGATACCTATGTCCTTGATACTTGTTTCCCTGATCCCTGTGTCACTGACGCCTGTGTCCCTGACACCTGTGTCGCTGATACCTATGTCCTTGATACCTGTGTCTGATACCTGTGTCTCTGATCCCTGTCTCCCTGATACCTTTGTCCCTGATGCCTCTGTCTCTGATACCTGTGCCCCTGGTACCTGTGTCCTTGATGCCTCTGTTTCTGATACCTGTGTCCCTGATGCCTCTGTCCCTGATGTCTCTGTCTCTGATACCTGTGCCCCTGGTACCTGTGTCCTTGATGCCTCTGTCCCTGATACCTGTGTCCTCTGTTTACTGTCTGGAACTAGACAACAACGCATTTCACTGCACATTATACTGCATATAATTGTGTATGTGTCAACTAAAATCTCAACTTGATTTTTTTCACACATATTAGAAAGTTGTGGAATAAATTAAAGGAATGTGGACTTCGCATTACCAATTCTATAATTATGTATTTTTCTCTGTAGTCCAGAAGGAGCTGTAGCGGCATACAAACCTGTGCCGTCTGTTTACCCATAAGGCCTGATTTCTCACAGACTTCAGAGGGTCTGAAGTGACTTTCTGGCTGTTCTGGGAATTTGGCCGGAGCAGAAATCCATGCTTTTGATTTCCATGCCAGACTGCAGCTCTGTCGTGTTATTTATCACCATCTTAAAGGACTGTAAGGCCTCCGGCTCCAATCCACGTCTTCATCAGACAACAAGCTGCCCCTACACGCTGCATATGTATCCTGAGAACTTCATGAATTTAAATGGCTTCCCCTGATGTGGCAGCTACGAACGGGGTCATCTCATGGCATTATAGTCAATAACAATAAAATTCACGCCTGTCCCGTTTTTAAACAAACAGATTGACACATATGGTTTTGTGTCGATGTTTAAGCGAGTGAGTAAGTCCACAGGGAGACATACACTTGTTTAATGAGACAATACACGACAAAACACTCAGCTGTTACACTTAGCTAGTGCCATTCAGTGTCATCAGATACTGATGTTTAGCTAATGTGTTTGAATCATATGGCAAAAGTATATTCGTATGTTTATAATAGCCAGTCGTTGAAGTTGAGGCCAGGACAGGGGCAGCAGTGGGTAACCCTGTTGCTCGTACCTCTGTGGTTGGGGGCAGGGGGCAGACTGGCAGCAAAACAGCCCGGGAATTTGCTGTCAAGTGGCACCAATTTGATAGCTTGCTGCCGACCAGAGTGGGGGGGGGGATTATTTGGGACATTCTGCTGCCAACCGGCCCCGACGGCCAGTCCGTGTCTGCGTGGGGGTGTTCTGTTCTCCACTGGGGTCCAAAGACATGCTGCTGGATGAACTGGTGTCTCTCAGTCACTCCTAGTGTGTGAGTGTGTACCCCGTGGCAGACTGGCATCCCATGTAGGTGACACCCCCCACCTCGTGCCCTGTGCTGCCTGGGACAGGCTCCAGCCCCCCCTAGAACCCCTTACTGGATAAGTGATAATTAATTAGTAATTTCTTGCCTCTTAAAAGTATCTTGTGAACGGTGCCCCAGAATAGAATTCAACATAGCTTATATACTGATGTTAAATAAAAGCCATGTTATTAAAATATTCTAAAGCGTACGTAAAAGCAATTTACGTACTCTGCCTGAAACTGAATGAAGAATACTGGAAAAATAATACTTTTCCCTTTTTGTTGTTGGTTGACCTCGGATGTGATGTGATTTAAACAGAACATTTTGCCATCTTATTAAATATGCCATTTAGATCTGAATTTTTGGCAGATTTCTCATGCTATTGAGGGTGACAGCCTTGGAAGTGGATTGTTTTCATTTTAACTTATTGAATGCCACATTGTGACATTTTTTCTTGCATTTTTATTTTTGATTAGTTGTTACGGTGCGCTCTTGATTTCTTATCGTTTGACATTGGGAAACGGAGCTGGAAACGGGGCTTTTGTCAGGCATTTAACAGACCAAATAAAAATGAGGAACCTCCACCTTTGTATTGTTCTCAGAAGTCTGTAAATGGATTCGTAATTACTGGCTGTCTGCCGCAGACAGAAATGTAATTGTACCTCCAGCAGGATGGAGTTTACGATCTGCGCGCGCCGTATTCACTCAGCTGATTAATAACGGCTTCAGGACGGGACTCTGCTCTCCCCTCTGAGCCATTGAAAGCGGCTCGTATGAAGGAACAATAAAGCCGCCGTGTAGTTTCCACTGAGGACGAAACCCATCCTGTCCAAATCAAATGTTAGACTCAAATGAGCCCATGTGGCGCTCTCAGCGAGCAGACATTTCGGCGGGCTTTGGAAATAAATCAGGCCTTTCGGTGCAGGAGAGATCTGGCAGTCACCAACAAGCTTCTCCCTGACATTTTCCGCAGCTTCAGAGGTCCCTAATCCACCCTCCTCCTCACCCTCTTTTCCAGCGTGGCGTTTAAGGAGCCGGTGGCACTTGGAAGCGAGCTGACATCACACGGCGGTGGCGTGGGCAGGCGGTGCGGAGGTGGGTGAACGGAGAAGGGATGCACTTTTCTGCACGTTTAAGCGCGAGGACACGGAAAACGGTGCATTTGGACCCTGCCAAAGTTCTAAAGCCGCAAACATCTGTCTGCTGCTTTGCGCTTCGCTCTCGCCCGAGCGTCGCTTCCAAGCACAGATGTGTCATCCTGTATCCATGACGATAATATCCTTTGAATGTCAGGAGGTCAAACCTCTGTGGCACAAATATCAGCAGGAAGAGAGGAAAGAATTAAAAAGTAATTAACAAATTTAATTAAAAATAGATTTATTTTTAAATTAATCCATAGCAGTATCTGGCTTTGGCTACAACTGATCAGTGTTTAGTGGCTAACTATCATTTCGTGTGGGTCATATCGTTTTGGTTTTGGTTCATATTGAGGTCCATTTCTTAATGTGATGTTACATGTCTTCAAAATATGTGTCTGTTGTGCACTAAAACAGGAGAAACACATTTTGTGCATGGAAACAACTGTTTAAGATCCCCTAAACCGCATCCAGCCCAATCAGATATTTCATAGATGACAGATGAATTCCGCAAAGGATTGGAAGCATTGAGACATCCGCGTCAGTTTTTTTTAATGACTGTCCTCTTTGGGAATATTTATGTAGATGTTTTCGCACTGTTTCCATTATGGAACAAAAATTAAATCGATTATTTTTTATAAAATTAATTCTTGAAAACTCACTTTCTCCATTAAAAAAATGCATTAAAATTTTTTTTTCTAATTTGTCTTTTATGTCTCCCCATGTATGATGCCATTAGGAAAAAACAACAGCTTCAAACATATCTATCTTTCAGTCACTAATTTAGATGCAAGTTAATGAAGATTGCCGCAAGCAGACGTACATCAAAACCGGTGTCATGAAAAGACACTGAGAGCCACACAGGATAGGGAACAAATCAGCCAGCATCAACACAAACAAAGTCAACGCACACAACTGCAACCACTGAGGACACAGTTCTTGCTGGATAATTTTCAGTGATGTTTGCCGTGTGTTTGAGTTGCCTCGAAGCACCAAATTGATCTTGGGTTTTGAGCAAACATCCCTCTGTCATGGCTCTGTTCCAATGCTCATCTGTCCTCTCTGTCTTCCAATTAACGATGTTCAAGGGATGCAATCAGGGGAAGAAGAAGAAACACTAGCCATGCCTGAAAAGGATTGACAGTGTGGATGCAGGTGGATGGAGAAAGAACGTTGGTATTTGATATGACGATCCAGAAGGGGGCGATGGTGAGAACAACCTTTGCTGGTCAGTGGCAGGTGACCTGGTGAAATGGATGGATTGGAATGGAAGTCTCCACAGCCACAAGCAGACAAACACAAAAGCACATATTATGTAAACATGCAAAAAAAAGACAATTGTTTCATCATTTATCGAGCAGACACTTCTATGCAAAGTGACACAGAAGCAGGGGCAGACAGATCCCGTAGCAATAGGGGTTAAGGGCCTTGCTCAAGGGCCCAAAAGAGGGTTCACGATCCACCAAGGGATTTGAACAGATGACATTTTGATTACAGGTATGAATCCGAACTGACTGAGCTATCCACAATGCTCAGAAAAGAAGCAGCCAAAACAACAACAGAGATAGAATTCAACCACCCAACCCTCAAGGTGAGACAAGAGGGCTACTGCATTACCAGTGTCACCCACATGTGCGTCAGATCATAGTCTATTGACCAAAACAACGTTAAACACGATGCATCCTTCTGTGAAAACCACGCTAGACAAAAATGAGAAAGATTAATTATATTGTGAATTTGAGAAAATAACCTGTAAGTACATGCGAGTCTGAGAAGCGATTCGCTCGGAAATATGGCAAGTGGATTAAACTGATGTTCCAGGGAACAGATTTCTGTAATGTGTTTTTATTATAATTCAGTGAGAATCTTCAGGCGTTGTTGTGATTTTGTCACCTTTTATTTCTTATTTTGCTTCTGTAATTTGAGTTGAACATTAAGTCTTTATGAGTAAAAGTTATTTATGGAATAGATGTTATGTAAGAAGTGCTTACACTGAGCAGATGGTGAATAACTTTTAACTAAACCAATTTAAAACACTCTGTTTTCAGATTCCAGAAAAATCCGTGTTTTACTGCCAAGCAGGCTGACTCTTAGTGTCGGTGATTTCAAATATAGAATAAGAAAGACGCTAAATGACAGAAAATCGTTCAAAATATCGCGCCCAGTATACTGCAACTTGCGTTGTTGTTTCAGGATTCAGCCTGAATTTTTATCTGCTCGCCTGGAAACGCTATGAAACATTGTACCGCATCTAACAAGCTGTATGTCTCACCAGCACATTAGAGGAGACTTGGATGAAATGGACGCCTCTTTGGTGAAGTTCTGAGGTGTGACTCACTGCGTTCTTGGCAGTTGCGCGCGGTGGCTGCCGCCTGTTGACGGCAAGTGCGTCCCCTGGAGCCCGCTGGAATCTCAGCATGTTTGCCAGTGACAGCCTGCGGAGGGGTGTTGGGAGATAGGACCCGTTCGCCATGACATAAGAAAGGTACTTCTATGCTGAGGAAGACAGGGGTGGGCGGTGCTGGTGGTCACTGAGGATGCGGGGCCCTGTACTGCTTCTTCTCGTACCTGCTGTCGGTCATCGCTGCACTCTGTTTCTGTTTTAAGCCCGGAAACGAAGTGCGTGTTGAATCAGGTGGTACGGCCGCGGCATTTTCCGAGCTGCCAGGACCAATCGGCAGACTCTGCGAGACGCCCGTTTTGGGGTAACGGAGACGGAACGCTGTCACGGCCAAAGAAGCGTGACGTGGGTCGGCGCGACCGGCGAGACGCGCAACGTATCAACACGATGGCACGATGCTATCGTCACTAGCATAACCAAAATAGCGCCCAAGCAAACAAGTGTTACGCTTGTAAAAATATATGTGGTTTATCAAACATGGTTGTGTGAAGGCATATTCCTTGGTCATAATAAGACATGCGCTTACTTCTGGTCTACACTTACAGTAAATAATACATAAGGCTGAATCATTTGATTAGTTTAATTATCTTAGAATCTGCTGCATTGTTGCTAGATTTGTCTTTTGGGAGCAGCTATTACCCAGAATATTGACAGTAACGTCGTGAAGCACATTTCTGTCACGTTTTACTGTGTTTTACATCAACTAGTTAATAAAGAAACTGCAACTTAATACATCTCTGTTTAAGTTACACATAACACCTAGATACAGAAAATTTCACAGTAGCACTTGACTGAAAATGAAGACTAGCAAAACAAAACCTGACATCTCTGGCAACTAATAAAAGAATAAAGATTAAATATATCTAATGTATTCTTTTGATGGATTGCTGCTGCAGATGATTTACTTTCGCCTCTTGGCAGTTATGCTGAAGCAATAAGAAAGTGCAGCGACTGAAGGGAGAATTTCCATGATAACAAAGACAAACGGCATCTCTTCAGACTCAGCTATTTGCCATCTTCCCTGTGTGTACTGCGGCTCCTGTTCCTTCACAACAACCTTTATTTTCTTGAAAGAAAGTCAGACATCCTGCAATTGCCGATTTTCACTGCAAAATTTAAGCTAGACCTAAAAACTTGCTTGTTTCTTTTTTGCAAATAAAATTTCCTAACACATCCATAGAATATAATTACAGATGTTACAGAGAGACAGTATGTAGCAGACCACATGATTATTTGTTCCCGAAAGATTCAATCATTCCTTTAACAGAGCACACGAGCCCAGATAAACTACAGAGTGAGCCCAGGCCTAAGATGAGGATGTCAAAGATCTTAAGCTTGCAGTTGAGTTTAGTCCATTTGAGCTGCAGATGGAAGAGGGCTGGAAGCAGAAAGCTCATGGCTGCTCCGGTGACGTTGCCCGTCAGTCCCATGAGTAGCGAAAAGTGGGGCATGAAAGTGGCCATCAGGAAGGTCAGCAGAAGGAGGCTGCCCCGAAGCAGCAACTTTGTTCTGACCCCACTGGCCTGGTCTGCACGGCGCTTTGTAATGTACGTCTGTAGGACCTCAGTGGCTGCGTAGAAGGGCAGGGGGTAGGAGAGCAGCGCCTTGGCTAGCAAACAGAGGTTGACCACAGTACGCAGAGTGGCAGGAAGGTTGTCTGTTATCACCTCCTTTGTCTCCTTGCCCCAAGTGAGAAAGGCAAGGACAGAGAAGGTGGTTTTGAAGACGCAGGCGATGATGTGAGTCCAAGTAATCATGCTGGAGAATTCACTCCTGTCCTCCATGTTTCCCTCTAAGGTGGGTAGGAAGATCTGAGAGGTGTAGCTGAAGATGATGACCCCAATGGACACAAGGAACTTCTCAAAGTCTACAGAGACAGCCATCCATGTCCAGGACCAGTGGGGAGCCTTCAGCAGGCAATAGGCAATGATGATGAACGTGATGAGGAACTGGGCCAGGGAGCAGAGCAGACTGAGCCTGGAGACCACGTGCAGGTCCCGAATCAACATGCAAGGCATGAGGGTGAGAAAGGTGATGATGGACCATGCAACCGGGGGCAAAGGGAGGTATGGAAAGCTATGGCCTGCAAGGTTACAACTGACCACTAGGTAGAGGATACAGGTCATCATCAGCTCGACCCCTTGGGCTGTGTTGACGACCGCTCCCCCCAGACGGGGACAGAAGTGGACGCAGCAGGCGTTGGCGATGTCTTCGTAGGTGCTCCTCACCCGAATAGGATGTCCCACCTCGTCCTCCTCATAAAGGCAGGCAACCAGAATCTTACCAGTGTAGCTGCAAATGACGGCAGCCAGGACAAGGAGGAGCAAGCCCAGCAAGCCACTCTGAAGCAGTGCGTAGGGTAGCCCCAGGACAAAAATACCCTTAAATGGCAAAAAAACAGAAGAGCTAGACATATCGCACAAAAATTCGAGCCATTCTTAAATGTATAAGAATCAATGGGTTCTAACTACAACAATGCTAGGTAGGCACTCATTAGACTCAAGGTCAAGCAATTATGCAGGACACAGATACAGTACCAGTCAAAATTCTGCATTTGTTTTTCAGCAAGATAGTAACCCTATGCACACCTCGAGGTTATGTAAATATTGTGTCATCTTGTGAAAAAGTTTGAATGCTGTGACAGATGACCTGGTCCCCACAATCCCCCAACGTAAACCTTATAGAGCTGGTTTGGGATGAGTTGGATCCAAGAGTATGAGCAAGGTAGCCAACTTGTGCCCAGAACTAGTGGAAGCTCCTTCAGGACTGTTGGAGAAGCATTCACAGGTGGCTACATCTGGAAGCTGGTTGAAAGAATGCCAAGATTCTGCAATGATGTCATCGAAGAAAAAGGGGCTAGTTTGAAGAGTCTAAAAGTTGAGAAAACGTTGAACACTTCTGGAATATTTGAGTGGTATTACTTCATTGCTTCAAGGCCTTTTACTCTAAGGTGAATATCAGCTAAAATAGAGATAAATGCATTAAAAACAGGTGCGTCCAGACTTTTGACTGGTGCTGTATTCAAAATCTAGTAGTGGATGGATGTTTGAACACCACCCCTGGCGTTCTAACGGAGAACATTAAGTCTAGAGATGCATGGTCCTGTGGTTTTGCTCAGCCCTGGAAGGCTTTGGCCAGATAAAGAGGACATCTGGTAATTAGTGTTACGAGTGGAACATGATGCAAAGCTCCCAGTTCCAGAACAAAATGTACATTACAGCACTGTCAGAATTGTTGGCCAGTCATTTGTGCTCCGCTATTCAAAAGGCTACACAAATGTTTGATTGCACAATTGAAAACTTGTAATGTTTTACAAACGACAGTGCAAAATACATTTAATTAAATGTAATGTATTCCAAAATACTGAAAATAAGGAATCTTTTCTACTTGCAGTTTTCCGTAATTGACTTGATGGGCAAGGTTGATGTCCCGGAAACCTGACACCTCTGCTTTCCGTAATATAATAAAATAGCACCAATATTGTGCGTAATAATCATCCTTTATTCATACAGTTTTGCCTTTCATCCTAATGCACTGACAGCAGTCTTTTGACAAGGTGCAGGTGAGGCAGTGCGTCTCATGTCTAAAAGCTGGTCTCCTTTGAATTGCGCAGTAACAGAAAAACTGCTACAGTAGGACTCCTGTAAAATGTACTTTTATCTGAAATGACCAAATTTGCAGCTGAATAAATGTATTAACCCAGCAGCCAGTCCTCAACAGCAGGGGCTTTTCTGTGACTCAAATCTGCAAACATCGAGTGACGAAGCACATTCTCTAACATCCACCACTAGCTTCTGTCCAGTGGACCCTCTAATATGTATCTATAATATTGATTCTCTAATGCTGACTCTCAATCTGCTCCTGCATTTACACGCAACATAACCATCTCGTGAATGAATGTCATGCTCAGCACATGCTGACACTAGTTACCTGGATGGCATTGGTCACATTCCAGCCCGCTTCCCAGGTGCTGATCTTGGGACAGGTGACGCTCTGGTTGTCACCCGTAGGTGTGACAGGCAGGTCATCGCAAAATGTCACTTGGCTGGACACACAGGGCTCCCCGTGACTTTCTCCGTCATCGCCGTAGGTTCTGCTCAGCTCATCCCTCTGCACAAACACAAGGCGTTCCTCCTCACCCCCACAGCGAAACCTGTAGCCCCTCAACAGCTCCACTTGTGTTTCCAGCCAGCTCAACCTCAGCCAAGACATCTCAGGATTATATGGTGGTCTACTGATGCTTCTAGAACCTGCTGCCTTCCACAGTGATCCAGGAGGAAAACAACTATTTTAACTCACTGGGGATGAATAGCAGATGATTTCTCTCCCATCACCAGCTCGATGTTAGTGGCCAACAAGTGTCAATCGCGGGGTATAGACCTTACCACGAGAACACGGTCCACTGCACACCAACACACGTCTCGAACTCTAAATTGGCTTCTCATGACAACGAAATCATCCTGCTTCTCAATGCGCACGCAACCGGTGACTGACAGCGGGGAGATCTGTCTCAGAAAGTAATCACATTCTGAATTTCAGGTCAGGGGAAAAAATCGAATTCACGCTTGATTTAGGCTCAGGAAACCCATCATGCTAGCTTAAAAGGATGTCATTTTCAAATTCATTGAAATTTAATTGGCTGCTATACAGCCCCAAATTGCATGAATCTAAGTAAAGTTTAATGTAAGTAAAGTGCTCTTGGAAAATGTTAATACAATTTAATCAAGATTTTGTTGACTTTTGTTAACTTACTGTAACTTTTTGTGACACTAGATGGAACTATAGAGCTCACTCGAACTTCTAGTTAAAATGCAGATACTTTTTCGGTCTCCCTAAATAAATGCATATTTGCGCAAGTAAAACACCACAGATATTATGAGCTTTAAGAAAAAAGAAGTAAATCTGCAAGTACCGTGTACGTAGAGTACCTGCGTAAAAGTTATTTCAGTGTTTCAGGGATGCAGAAGTCTTTTTTCTCAGATTTCTGAGGATGACTTAGTAAATGTTTTGCAAAAAGTAAGAATTACAACTCTGGTGTAAGAAGAAACTGAAACATTTAAAATTTCAACCAAACTCTCTTTAATAATGCTATCACGCTGAAACACTATTAGTTAACTAACGTTTAACCCCTTTGGATTAAAACATGAATAGAGAAGGCGGCTTTGGAGACGCAGGCGGTTAAATGAGTCCTGGTCATTATGCTGGAGAACTGACCCCCTGTAAATGATAACATGACATATATATAAATCTGCCTTGTAAAGGAACGAACTTTGAAAACAGCTTTGAAAAAGAGAAGGCATTCAGCGCAGCGGTGCCCCCACTCCAGAGGCAGGGAGGGGGAGGGCTTCTTCAACTTCTTCAAAGTCCCGATTGAGGTTTTGCGCGGAGCGCAGAGGCGACTGGACAGACAGCGTTGATGAAGAGTTAGAAAAGTCCAAAATGAGAAGCCTGCTGCATTTCGCTGTCGTATCGCTGATATGGCCATTCAGCCAAGCTCAGCAGAGGGGTGAGTGCAGCGTTTACTGAAGTAACAGCTAAAGCAAATCAATAGAATTAAAGAAAAAGAAAACTCTTTCTGAACTTTATGGGCCAGCCAGGGAACGAGTCTTGAACTACAACTAGATCTGCTTTAACAGTAATATCACATAATACAAGCTCATAAATAAATGATTAAAGGGGCCTTTTGTGGTTGTTGAATTGTCTGTGCATTTCACTTTATTTTTAAAACTGCACTTTCCCAGCCTAATGTCAAATTCTAATTCGGAGAAGATTTACAGATTTTCAGTAGTAATCAGTATCTTACATTGTTACATATAGGTTACTTATGATACAGATTTTAAAAAATATTTTCCTTGTAAATTTGGTGATTGCACATTGTTACATGGTTTGTTTTCTTTATCTTTCAGAATAAGTGAAAAAGATCTTAGAATTTATATATTGATGTAGTTGTGGGGAAATTGATCAAGAATTACTATATGATAATGAAATATCCATCGATGTTCACAGCAGTACTGCCTGTATAGAATTTCGCTCATTTCATTTAGACATGTTTTATCTAGAAAATGATTGCAAATAGTCTGCATTGACAGTATTAACTCCTTAATTTATGCCTGTTGTCTACATGCATTTGTGATATTTCAAAACCGGACAAGCAGCGCACGGTGGCGCGCATTTGTTCATGAGTCCGCACTATAGTTAAGGCACTCGGTGACGCGCATTTGCTCATGTGCCCGCACTACCGCTAACCCTGCACGGTGACGCGCATTTGTTCAAGTGCCCGCGCTCCCGCTAACCCTGCACGCGACACTGAGAAATGAATGTGCTGAGAACGGAAGGAGAGACGGATCTGTGCAAACGCTCCACTGAGCACTGTACGTTTCATTCGGACGCATTAAGGCGCTCAGGGCCTTTGTCCCTGTCCCTGTCGTGGTAGGGTGATTCTGTGCCCTTCCCCAAGGGCTCTCTGGTACATATGTCTATTAACAGGAACTCTTTGTTAGACAGATACAAAGACAGTAAAAAGCAGCTTTTTGGGGGGGAGGGGGGAGAAATGCTAAACTTAGCATGAAAAACGCCATTTCCATGCACTAAACATAGTCCAGGTAAACCTGTATATCTTGTGCTGGTTGCAAATAAACCTGAGCTACAATGCTTGTGCTGTGTCGTGGGTGGTAGGAAAACCACTTCCGCCCTTCCTCCCTCCCTCCCAGCCAAATGTCTCACCGCACTCACTATAGATTGTGGTCATCGCTGGCATTGTGAGTCACAGTGTGGTTAGTGTGGTGGCCTTGTGATGGCCGCCATGCATCACTGTCATGGGCGGGCCGTGGCAGGTGGGGATGGAGGCGAGGAGGCGAAGCGCTTTAGAGAATAATGACGCATCGTAAATATGTAACAGAGATCCGGGTTTTATGCGGTCATCTCCGTGTCTCATATTGGCAGCGTATTAGCAATCAGAAGGAAAATGACGGATATTAGTATCACCTCATCGATAGTATCACATTTTGTGAAAATATAAAATTATGTTTCTTACTATATTTAGTTCAAATATGAAGACTTCCAATGTCGACGTAAGGGACCTTAAATGTCAGCGGAGACCAAAGAGATATTAGTTATTGGCATAAGCGCTCAGGCCTTGAGAATCAAGAACTGCGTTGTTCTTTGGGGGCGTCTTTGCCGACTCGGCACACTGACCAGTCGCTGGAGTCCTTCCCTCCTTGATCCGCTGAAGTCGCTCGCAGGTCATGGGCTGCCGCTTGTGTCCACTTTGGCTATGCTGCCCAAAGACTCTTAAGTCACTCATTGTTGCTTTGCATCGCTGTCCTGAGACGATTTTATCAGCCGGATAGTTTCTAGTTTAATTTGTCACGTACACAAACACTGTTCCTTTCAGCAATTAAATGTTTTTTTTCTTCTACTGGCTTCCCAGATTGTGCACATGTAAAAAGGGTTTCACTACACACAGTGCATATCTCTGTATGTGATGAATAGAACTTGGAACTTGATAGAACTTGGTGTTTGACAGTGAGTGTGTGCCCTGTGGAGGACCGGTGTCGCCTGTTTTATCCTCCTTTCTTGCCGAGACGGGTTCCACTCCCACCGTGACTGGATAAGTGGTTGTGGAAGATGGACAGATAAATGGACGGATAGATGGATGGATCGATGGTGGGTAAATGGATGCACAGTCCAGCAGTTTTGACAGAGAAAATGCTCTTTGTCATACGGCTCCCGCTGTTGTGTTTGGCTTAAAGGATGGTCTTGATTCCTTTGTGTTGAGTCTGTGCCAGCCCTAATATTTGGCTTTTAGAACAAATAAATACATTTAGTCTAAACTGCAACACTTATCAGAGAGGAGATTGCTGGAATCTCCATGGTGTGACATGACTTATTTTCGGTAATGGCTTCCTCCTTTTCTGTACAACCAGAGTTGCAGAAATCAAAAGCTTTTGCCAGAAAGCAGAGGGCCAAATGCAGCTCGCACCTTGACTGTAACATCTGTCCATCGCAGTGCTCCAGTCAGTAAATACACTGTGGGCCGCATAACCTGTGGAGCACAGAGAGACCCAGGGGAGAATGCAAGCTCCTCCCACACTGAGCTGGAGTTCGATTTAATCCTGCCAACCAAGAGGTGAGGGGTGGAGACGTCTCTCGCCCATGTGTCCAACGCGTCATGGACCTTCTCTCCCAAGTTGGCAATTGAACCTCTGCCATTGGCTGTCTCCCCTCCGGCTGTGTCCTCCAATCACAGCTGCTCAGCGTGGGGGGACAGCCTCCCAGGCTGTATCTTGGCAGTGCCATTGAGTTTTCATTTCTTAATGATTTAACAGGTTGCCCTCACAGAGATGTTAAGCGGCTCTGATATTTCGGCAGACTCCTCCTAAACTCTGATGTTCAAAGATTTTATCCCTTGCTTGCTTTAAAATTCCTCAGTCTTCACAGTCGATCCTTTGGTTGACATTTACTAAGTCATCCTCAGAAATCTGAGAAAAAAACAGCTTTTTATTACAGACGCTCCTCTACTTATGAATGAGATACGTTCCGAACGGCCGTTCATAATTCGAAATGTTCGTAAGTCGTTATTCAGCATCATTTTAAGGGTATATGCAAGTACAAAGAACTAGGATGCTGGGAGTACGCACGCTACGCTGCTGCGCGGCGGGAGTAGCGGCCAGAAGTTATGCTAGGCGAATTGGCGCGCAGAAAAAAAAAATAGATGTTGCAGACAGGAAACGGGAGCCCAATGAACACAATTTGGACTTACAGTCCTCTTCGTTCGTATGTCAGAAAGTTCGTAAGTTGAAAGTTCATAAGTAGAGGACCGTCTGTATGCACGATATATTGCACTGAAGCTCTTAATAGTGCTCAGAGAGAGAGAGAGGACATGACCATGTTTGTAGCTTGTTAAGGTCATTTTAAAGTGTCTAACTCAATTTAGATTTCCCATATACATTAAATACACGTTAAGGTCATGATTAATTCGCTGTGCGTTTTTATACTATGCTGTCATGATGAATATAGGTGGTCAGAGCGATAAAATGCATACAGTGCATTTAATGGTTAGTTAACCAACAAAATTACACTCGTTAATTTTTTTTCCTGGAAGAGGACAAAAAGCTGAGAGCAATTAATCTTAATGTTGTGTATGGGGCAATGTCTAAATGTTTATATACAGGACAATATGATGTGTCAGAGGCAGAAGTGGGTTGTATGAGTATTTGTGTGAAAGCCCCAAGTTTTTCAGTAAGTCTAGATAAGAAGCGGAGAGGACGTCAGAAGATGCTGCTCACCCTGTCAGGTGCCCAGTGTGTTCAGGCTGGAGGCCTGGTCTTCTGTGTGTTCGGCCGTACGGCTCCCCGGGCCACAGGCGGGCAGCTGAAGTGAATTTCCGATTGCCAGTCTTCCTCCGTTTCCTCCTTTCGGACTGAATGGATGTGAATAAATGAATCCTTGATATTTGATTCCTGTGAACGCCTTGAGCAGTGGGTTTCACAGCAGCGGATGTGCCGGCTGTGCCAGGTTTTTGATACTTTCACAAACCATTGCGCAACAGTAGTGATTTTAATGCTACACCCTGCCTATTTTTTGGGAGATTTTTTTCCGGGGCCTGCCGATGATGCATTGTCCATCCATCTGACATCCCGTGCTGAAGGTGAACATTACAAAAATATAAACTTTAGCAACTATATAGATAAATCCCAAACCAAACAGACATGAACTTGCTCATTAATCGAACATAGTTAAGCAGTAGCTTCACCTTATCGATCGTCGTGTCTGTGACTCTTTTTTGTAAATAAATCATCAGCGTTGTGTTTCTTTGTTAGGTTCTCAGCTTTGTTGCCTGGTTTTCCACTTTCGTTGGATGCTCGGAGTCACACACAATATTCTGCAGTTATTAACACTGTGTTTTCGACTGTTCGTTTCCTTTCAATCTGGTGTGTGTTTGTTTTCCACTCCGGTCACTTTGTCAGTCGAGGACACCCACGACTTTGTGATCATTAGGAATGTTCTTCAGAACTGGGTCTCAAAATGCTTCTGGAGAAACAGATTTATAAAAATCAATACTTAATTCTATGACAATGACAGCGGAAAGTGGCGCCGACTCCAGTCTGACTTCTGTTTAGTCAATGCTGATGAAAAGAGGCTGGGAATACAATTTCATAAATTGGCGCAAGCGCTTGGGTGATTATTTGGAAATGGACTTGCTTGTCCAATACATAAATGGCTGTCCATACCTATTTTTGTAGTGTACAAGATATATTGTATGTAATGAAAAAAGGAAAACAATTGAGGATTTTCCAGAACGCAATTTTCTAAGCAATTGCGATACGTAACATTACATAACAGGAGTATACCTCATGAAACTGGAGCAGCTTGCGCAGTGTGCGTGCGCGATAGTTTGTTTTCTTTTTCTGTATAAGTTATTTGGCCTAGTGGAGAGGAAGTAGCCCTCTCTGGGTACAGTATAGTTAGTCGCTGTATTTTTGTCCACAATGTCATACTTTTGTA